CTTGAAGATCTTCAATTTTACTATAAATTATTAAGTAAAATTTATAAAATCCGGTAATTTATTGTAGGGTAGTGTATTATTAAAAAATCAAAATTTATTTTTAAAATAATCAAGACTTATTTCTTCTCAAAGTAAATCTAATTATGCAAAAGTTCTTATAATAAATTTATGCATCACATTATCAAAAAATCAATAAAATAATTAAGATTTATTTCTTTTTAAAGTAAATCTGATTATGCAAAAGTATTAATCATAAATCTATGCATTGCATTATTAAAAAATCAAAATTTATTTTTCTTATAGAAATTTATCAGTTAAGTGATTCCTTTCTATAGTATATTTTTAATTACATTTAAATATATTGATAAAAATTATTCCAATTTCATGTAAGTATTTTTTCAACCTTTAGATTTCTTTGATAAAAGATTAAACACGTTTTTTAAATTTTTAAAATTTTATTTAAAAAAATAAATTTTAAAAATTTATTTTCTCCTTTTTTTTTAAAAAAAAATTAAAATATCATATCAAAATGAAAACGATGATAAATCCAACTAAAATCAAAATCAAAACTAAAAATCAAAATCACTTGTTGAAAAAATAAGTAATATAAATAATAAAACTATTAAAACTAATTATAAAACATATAAAAATATATTAAATGCTTTTTTAACAATATTACCATCATTATTGAAATCTTTAATACTATTACAATTATATTCTTTATAGTCTTTACAGTCTTTACAATCATTTAAACCTTCAACTTCCATCACTATCACCATTATCATTACTATCATTATCATTTACATCAACAATTACAAGTGCAATATAACTATTACTACCATCATAACTACCACTATAATCACAACTATTATAACTATTATAACCATCATAACCATCATAACCATCACAATTATCACAACTGTCACTATCAGTATGATCAAATCAATCAATAAGATAAATAATAATATATTAATAAATTTACATTATCATTATAATTTTTAATCATTTTTGAAATTATTATAGTTTATCAAATACTTGTTGCTATTATAATAAGTTAGGCTATTGTGTTAGTCAATGTCCTAATATTCTACAAAGATATCAAAATTTTTATTTTAAATGTTGGTCAACAAGTGGCTATATAACAAAAAATTGTCTATTATCTAATAGAAGACTACTGTAAAAGTAAAAATTTTAAAATTAATAATAAAATGTTTATTTAATATAAATTTTTTTTAAAAAATTAAAAATTAATTATTTTTTATATTTTAGATAATGCTAATATTAATACCACTATCACTAACAAAACTAATACCAATCTACTACTATCATTACTACTAAAGTCAATACCAATACTAATGTCAAAAAAAGCTGATGTCATCATTAAAGCTAAAGCTAAAGCCAATGTCAAAAAAAAAATGCCAATATCAGCATCAATGTTAATTCCAAAAAAACTGATGTCATCGCCAAAGCTAAAGCCAAAAAAATAAGGCTAATACTAACATTAATATCACCAATAGTAAAGTCAATGCTAATACCAATAATAGTATCAAAGCCAAAGCCAAAGCCAATGCCAAATACCACTACCACTAAAATCAATGCTAAAGCAAAAAAAAAGCTATTATTTGTAACTTTTATTTTTTATTTTAATTTTAATTTTAATTTTAATTTTTTTTTTTTACTATATTACTTATATTATTACTAATATTTTGCAACTTAATTTTTTATTTTACATGTTACCAGATTAATTTTTTTTTAAATAATATTCAATGTGTAAATTTTTTTGATAAGAGGATCAAAAAAAATTTCTTTTTTTTTTATTTAGAAAAATATTTTTTCTAATAAATTTTTTGATGAAAAGGTCAAAAAAATTTTTTCTTTTCAAAAATACATTTTTTTTTATGGGTTTCAAAAAAAATTTTTATTTTTTAATTATTATCTAATCTAATAAATAAATATATATTTTTTTGAATTTTAGAAAACTAAATGTATAAATATTAATATTTTAAATAAAATTATTTTACTAATTTAATATAATAAATCTATGATATCCTTTAAATCATCTAGCGAGCAAATTTGCCTGCTAAAATTTGTTTTGATCTGTATTTGTATAACCACCTGTGATTTTCTTAATTAATACCTCTCACATTTCTAAATAATAATAAAAGTGTATCATCTTGCTAGTCATGACATAATTTCCCTTTAATCTTTTTTTTTAGTGATAATCTAAAAATCTCCACTCCATTAAAAAGTATATCTTCTGCAGTAGGACTAAGTGTGCTGTCTTCAATTTCAATTTTGAATTCATTTCCTCTTGAAACAGAACAAAATTTTGATAAAGAGGAGGAATATATGCCACTTTTGACATCCCGTCAACATTTTGTGAAATTAGATATTGAGAAGGATAAAAAGGAGGATACCAGAAACATTTGTAAAGGTAGACGCAAACTAGTAAAAACTATACAATTACTACTCACTCCTAATTTTAAACATTCTGTTCATCCAAAACTATTACACTGGGTATTTATTAACTTACCGCCAAATTATGAAGTTAATTTTTCCAAACTAATCAATCTTTTTCTACTTTTTTTTCAAACTCCATATTAGATATAATAGTTGTTAATACAAATTTGTATGCATTAACAAAAAATGCTAGTGCTATTAATAGAAAGTGACAAAATATAGACCGTAAAGAGCTTATTATATGAATAGCTCTAGTTATCTATTAAGGACTCTTTAAATTATCTTCACTTAATCAATATTGAAATGAAAATCCAAAGTTTTCCATCCATCATATTTCTAAACAAATGTTATTAAAGTGCTTTGAATAAATCAAAAGATACTTACACATTTCTTCTCCTATGACTATGATTAACAATTATTTTGAAAAACTGGAACCATTGCTTTCAAAAATTTGTGATATTTCAAAACAACTTTATACACCAAGTTCGAACGTTTTAGTAGATGAAATGATGGTATAATTTTCTGGATGAAGCATCCATACTATTCAAATAAAAAATAAACTAACTCTGAAAGGTTTTAAAATTTTATCTTTATGTGAATCTGGATACACATATACTTTTTTGCTTACATTGTATGTATCACCAAATAATATAATAAAAGTAAACGGTCTTAATTAAACTAAATGTCTTATTCACCATCTTATTACGCAACTTCTATATCAGTAATTTTCATACAATATTTATATGAACAATTATTTTTCCAATATCCCTCTTTTTCAGTATCTTTGACAAATAGGCATTAGTGCTTATAGAACTGTCTGAAAAATAGCTTCTGGATTTCCAAAAGAATTAAAGGTAGATAAAAATGTCAAACTCAATTGGGATGTTTATTCTGGCATTGTAATAAATGAAGTGTTGGCTATTTTTTGGCAAAATAATGGACTAGTCACGATATTATCAACGATTCATAATCTCATTGGTGAAGAATGGAAAGTAGAGTGAAAAAATGACAACTAAGAGAGACAAGTACTAATGCAGCAAAGGTATGTCAAAGCAGAGTATCTTTTCAATTTTTTTTTTTTTTTATTTTTTAATTTTTACTAATTTGATTTTTTTTCCTTTATTCTTTTTTCTTTATTTTTTTTTTTTTCCCTTTTTCTTTTTTTTCTTTTTCGTTTTCCTTTTTCCTCCTTTTTTTTCGTTATCTCTCTCCTCTTTTTTTTTCGTTTTCCCCTTCCTTTTTTTTCGTATTCTTCTCCTCTTTCTTTTTTATTTTTTTCCTCTCCCTTTTTTTTTCTATTTTCCTTTCTTCTTTTTTCTCCCCTTTTTTTTTATTCTTTCTCTCCCCTTTTTTTCATTTTCTCTTTCTCCTTTTCTTTCTTTTTTATTTCAATTCTTCTCTTCTTTCTTTTTCATTCCCCCTCTCCCCCTTTTTTTTATTCTCCTCCTTTTCTTTCTTTCTTTTTTGCTCTCCTTCTTCTCTTTTTTTCTTTTTCGATCTCCTTCTCTCTATTTCTTTTCCTTCTCATTTAAGGTATGTGCAGTATTTGGCTCAGAATCAAAAAAGAAATTATTAATTTCAAAGGTAATCGATGATTACAATCACCACATGAATGGCGTTGATATTGCTGACCAATTGAAGTCTTACTACAATACATAACAAATAGTACGAAGGAATTGGATGCCTCTCTTTTTTTAGTTGTTAGATACTGCAATTATCAATGTCTATCAAATCACCTAAACATTAGGATCAGTACAAGAGCATAAAGAATTCTGTCATGAACTTGTTTAGGATCTTATTGAACTTGTAAATGATACAAAAGAAATTTATTTAAGAAATTGCTCAAAAAAAGAAATAAGGAAAGAACCAAAAAAAGAAACTAGATGACCAAAGGTAACAAAAAATTTTGAGCTTTCAAATCAACAGTTTGTGCCTGAAAACCATTTTGCTGAATGGAGAGAGCAATAAGAATCATGTCAATGGTGCACTTGGCTGGCAAGCAAAAAAAATTTGGATTTGAATCATAAAACACCAAATAGAAGTCAGCTTTAGTATATAATGTACAATATATCTCTTTGTTATAATATTAATCGTAATTGTTTTATCAGTTTTCATACAAAAAATAATGATAATGAATAAAATTTTATTTTGTTAATTTTTAGACATTGAGAATTTATTTTATCAACATTTATCAGTTTATTGATATAAATGTGCTAAAGTTAATCTTTAATAGTTTAATTAATTCATAACATAAAATTTTATTATAGATAAGTACCTCTATTATATAGTAGCTTTTTTTATTCATATATGAAGTAGTTAAAATAAATTTTTTGGATGATTTGAAAAGTTTAGTCATTTAAGATACCTCGTAGTTGAAGTATAGCAAATTTTGTATAACTTGAAATTTCATCGTTCGTTTGAATCACATGACGTATGCTATAACATGATTTTATTATTATTATGTGACCTAATATTTCAGGTATATCTCGGTCAATTTTAATCTAAGATTTAATATAAAACAATTATTTCTAAACCTAATTTTTTCTAATTATTTTAGCAGATAAATTTGTTTAAAATGGACGGTTTAAGAAATAACTCTAGAGAAACAAGTTCATAATATTTAAAAAGATTTTAGTATATCAAATATCATATAAAACTTTATATTATGTATACCAAATTTTAATAAAAAATTTTGATATAATGAACTGATAACATGATTAAAGTATAATAATTTAAGGAAAGATACATATGAATTAATAAAATAGAATAATATATGCTTGTTTGTGATCAAATATAGGTTATTCTTTAACTATTAATTCTGAATACCATGTAGAGATGGCAAGCTTTGTTCAGGTTTTTTTAGCAAATTCAGAAAAAAATTTATAAAAAAAACCAAATTAAGGTAAAAAAAAGATGAGCAAAGATAATGAATTAAATAAAGGAAAAGGAAAGATAAAAGGAGAGATGATAATTGAAAGAAATGATAAATGAGAATGAAAAAAAGGAAAGAAAAGGTTTATTATAGTGATTGTGAGTCAGAACTTCTTTCTGGAAATGCAGATCAATTTGAATTGGAAGGTGATTGGAAGTAGCGAGAAGGAAATAAATCAGTATTTGAGGATTCTAAAAAATCAAAATATTAGATAATTAGATTTAGATTAAAATAGTATAAATAAATAAATTTCTTACCTGACTTTGTTGAGTCAAATAAGCATGCTTTCATTCTTTTATACGAAATGCTAAATAATATAAATAGTATTGAATTTTAATAACTTTTAATTTCAATTAAAAAAGTTTTACTATACTAATCTGATCTATGTCAAAATGGTTGCTTAAATTGTTCACTGAAAATTTCTCCTACATGAGTTTATCTTCTACCTTGCTTCCCTTTAGCATGTTTTTTGAATAATTAAAATATCAAAATATAAATTTTTGCAAATAGAATTAATATAAACTTGTTATTCTTTCTTTTACTAATATTTACTTACTTTGCAATTCCTCACTATTTCCTTAAACTTATTTCTATACTGAATTTCAGTTAAAACTATCTTGAATTCCTCTTAAAGCTGCATAGCAATTTCATTCTAAAAAGGTATTTTTGACCTGCTGAACCTTCTATAAAAATCTACATTTTTTTTTCTTTTTAAATTAATTAAGCATTGCATCTCAGTTTCTGACTATTCAAAAGTGATTGACATTTTAGAAAAATTTCAAAAAATATAAGTTAACAAGTAGAGAGACAAAATGATGATAAAACTTTCTTATATAAAATTGTATTAAAACACATTAGCATAAATGAAGTTTCTAATTTTTTGCAAATAATTACCTAATTTTATGCAAAATTAATAATTCTTTTAATTTTAACAAAATGATAAAATTTTACATAATTTTTGCAATTTTAATTTATACATGAATTTTCAATTTTTGTAATTTCAAATTTTACTTAAAATTTTCAATTTTCACAATTTCAAATTTGATTGAATCAACAATTAATCACTATCAGTTCAATACTATTCAATACTATTTTAACACTACTTCAACACTACTTTAACACTACTTTAGTATTACTTTAATACTAGTTCAATACTAAAGATAATCTCCATAATTATTTTCAAATTTCAATTAAGTTGCAACTTAATTACGACATAAGGAATTTTAATTACGTCTCAAGTTGCAACTCAATTGCACCATTTTTTTTAATTGTAGTATCCATCTTTATTTAAATCTAATTAATCTAAGGTTAAACACTAATTAATTTTATAAAGAAATTTACTATATCAAGGTTTAACTGTAATACAAAATAAAAATTGAAGTCAATTATATATTATATTATTTATCTATAAATAAGTTTGCAATTAAAATTTAATTCCTAATTTAGAAATTATATACATAAAATGGCTAAAAAATAGCTGAAAAGATAACTGAATAATTTGATGAAAAGGATTTAACAGACATAAATCTATAAAAAATATATTTAAATAAAATAAAAAAATATTTTTTTTTGTATATATATTATAATTTATTGCTTATATATTATTCATTTTTAATTGCAAACTAATTTTTTAATTATTTTCATTCATAACTTCAAAACATTTTTTAATTTTTTAATTAATTTTATTATAAGATTTTTTTTTACGTGCAGTAGCTTTGCACAATCTTTATTTAAGAATAAAATAAAATTTTATAAAATTACAAATTACAAGATAGAGAGTACAAAAATTCCTATTTAGCAGTAAAACCAAATCAAAATCAATCTTGCACTGTTTCAAACTAACCTATCTGAATAAACTTAGAATAGATTCAACTATCTAGTATAGGAAGTATAGTTGCTATTGATCTAAAAATTCAACCAGTTCGTACCAAACTTAAAGGAGGAGATAAAGTATGAAGAAATACTAAAATCATGTGGTGATGATAAAGGAAAGCCAGTATTGGTAAAATGTAATTTGCAATCATTAAGTGAAATGTTATTGAGATTCTCAAATTTTTATATTATTACAATGATCAAGCTAGATGGATTTTATTTAGGAGAATGCATAATGGTAAGTAGAAGATAGAAGACCATTTGTTAATTGGAGGTTATTAATAAGATGGTGTGTTTTGTTGAATAGGAGAAGGAATACAATTCCTTTAATCAAATCAAT